TCATTTCTAGCTGATTTCAGATGCGTGTTTCCAAATGAACATTTTCACCATAATCAACTTCATCACTAAAAATCAAGATAAGTGAATGCTTAGGTGACCTAATCTGCCAGATGGGTCCCAGTCTTGCCCCCCATCCATTCAGTTTTACTTGACATTGTTCAATTATTAATCATTTTGTTTCTATTAACTTTTTATTATTTTAGTACATAAATGAAGAACACAAATGTGTTATTCCCTTTTTTATTTTTCTCTTAATTATTCTATTATGTAATATTTGGCAAAAAAACTTAAACATTTAGGAAGTACATGAGTTGTTTCTGTTACATATACAAAATATTCTTCAAGAAACTAAACTGTAAAACATAAAACTGAAAAATAAATGAAAGAGGAAAGGCGCAGGATGCAGGCCAACCCCGACTAGCACTTTGTGAATCCAATGGAAAGAAAACCAGCTGCTTTTAGAATATTGGTTCTCCAGAATGCAATTTAATGATATTTGTGTCCCCACTTGTTTCAGGTCTATTATGAGCTTGATGAAGGGAGAAGAAAAGGTGATGGCACGGATATTGCAATTTGTAGGGTTGAACAGCTTTGTCCTTTCCCCTATGACCTTGTCCAGCGTGAACTGAAGCGCTATCCAAGTATGTGCATTAGTATTTAACACATTTTCCTTTTATTCTTTGCTTGGTGCAAAAGAGGGAAGTGAAAATGAAAGGTGTAAATTGTCTTCTTTTGATTCAACCAGAGAGCAAGTATTTCTTTCAAGAGTATTTCTTTCAAGGCGCAAAGGTAATCCATTTTTAATTTCTGGCTTTTTCAGATGCGGAGGTAGTTTGGTGCCAGGAAGAGCCGATGAACATGGGCGCATTTTACTATGTCGCACCCCGCCTGTGTACTGCAATGAAGGCAGTTGGCAGAGGCAACATGGACGACATCAAATACGTGGGTCGCCTTCCTTCTGCTTCAACTGCTACCGGTTTCCTACAGGTTCATGTCAAAGAGCAGGCGGGACTTGTCCAGAAAGCCTTGCAGTCTGACCCAATTGATCACTAATTTCTCAAGTTCTCAACTCTCTCTTAGTCCTCCAATAAAAACAGGACTTCAAAGCTCTTTCTATACGTGTTATTTGCTGGCATCCAAAGTTAGCTTTCTTGTCTATCCAATTTTGGCTGTACAATAATCATACTGGTTACAATTTAGAATTAGGAGGCCCTTTTCTCTTTGAGGCTGGGCACTTTCAGTTCATGACTTCATGGAACTTTTACCACAGGAAAAAAATATACGGAGCACTTCTGGTAGATACACACTTTTTGTACTTGAAATGTGAAAACATGAAACTGTATAAGGTGAATTTGATACCGCATTTTAAGCATTTCACAAGAAAAATTGTAATGTAATTTTGCTTGTCAAGACAGTCAGTCCTGTTTTAACGTAATGACAAAAAAAACTTGATCACTAGCATAAGACTACATCCTTTGACCAATTGTATAATTTTATAAGAAGTTATTTATATTATAACAATGACATGAAAATATTCTTCGTTAAAATTAGTATAAAATTTATTTTCCAAATATTATACTGATTACAATCATTGTTCGAACTTTATCACCATTGACTTGAAAAATCAGAGACGACCAAGTTTTAAGGGACAAAGATAGTACGGGGTATTATGTTTGGGCATCACTTTTTATAATTAATACGGAGTATGAGTCATTCAACTCATATCCGCACATTTATGATTAGACTAAAGGCATTTAATAATACTTTCTTCATTTCGAAAAGGTTCGTCAAATTGACTTTTCTTGATTAATACTGCGTAATATTCAACTTTGATCAATGATATTTTTAACAAAAAATTATTTTGAATTTACAAATTATATCAAAATGTTCTCTATTCAAAATATTTTCATTAAAGTATAAAATTGATAAATTTCATACAAATATAATAATTAAAATCACTGTCTAAAGTTCGCCATCAATGACGAAGAAAAGTAATATGACGAATCTTTTCGGGACAGAGGTAGTATTATGCTTGTAACAATTACTAATTCTCGACTATATTAATTATCATTACAGAACAATGGAATTGACACGGATTGATCGATGGCTCCGTGCCCAGTAGTTCGTAATAAATGACATTGGCAGTTTGGCACAGATTTGATATATTCATGCCAAGTTCTTTATGTATTTTGACGAATCCTCTTCAAAGATTCGTATCAAATTCATAACAATTTTATTATTATTTGTAGTGATATTACAATAGTAAACTTGTAGTAATATACAATTTTCGACAACTATATATTACTCTCTAAGGATCCAAATGTAATTAAATGAATGAATATAACATACAACAACTACAAGTTCTTTTATTGAATTAAAAGAAATTGCGCTAAATATGAGTAAAAATTACACACACACAATTAGCACCACAACTATAAATAAATGTCTCAACTTGCCACTTTTATTCAAATTTATGGCCGAGAAATCATACATGGCGATCAAAATTTCATGTATAGAGTCACCCTACAATGATGACATGGACAAGAGTAAGTGTAAGTGGGCTTTATGCATAGAACTCTAGCCACCTACGTATGATTTTTTGGTCAAAACTTTGAATAATTTCTCAAACTGAAACGGTTATGGTATTTGATTTGATTCATTTAAGAGTTGAAGCACAAAAACGCAGCAGTACCAATAGTTAAAGTACCATTTATGCATTTGACCTGTGATACTAGGAAAATATTACTTCATCCACCCCACTAAGATCGTCCCATATAAATTTGGTACTTTTTTTATTTTGTTATATATTGTTATTATCTTATACTACGTATTTGCATTATTATTTTAGTATGAACCACACATGAATCCACTTTTATTTATTAAGTGTACATGAATCCTCATGTACCAAATTCAGGGGCGCATGTGGTATGAATTATGATACTTGATGGAGTATATGGTCCGGGAACCCCTGGCCCATAGACTCCTACTTCTCCCACAAAGGCCCATTAAGCCCAAGGAGCATCCGAAGCCCAAATACGGTGGCCCAAGTTCAAGGAAGCCCGAGATACACACGGGGTGCCTTCGACCACCTTGGCCGAAGGCTCCAGAATTCACAGCATGAACTTTTTTGGCATACAAAGTTACTGGGAGAAGACGGCGGAAAACAGGAGCCTTCGACACTGTTGGGCCCTCGACTTCAGAGAAGCCTTCGGCTGAACCAAGCCTTCGGCCGCACAGAGCCTTCGGCCACATGAAGCCTTCGGCTACGTGAGGAGCCTTCGGACAAACAGGCTCAATCATCGAAGATTCCCTTTGAAGACAGCCAACCACACATTTAATGCAACGTCACATCCACCAACCGCATTCAATACGGTGAACATGCCACTGCCGGTTCCACCCGATTGATGTGACCCCTCGGCCCTTGGATTACTGACACGTGTACTCTCATCGCATTTATTGCTGCTATAAATAGCAACCCATTTCTCCTTGTAAACGATCCCAACTCTGACACGCAGAGTTCATTTAATAAATCGACTCTCTCTCCTCCCATTTTGCTCTGACTTCTCTCTAGTTATTCCCGCAATAACCCCTCGTATAAGATACCCCCGGGTAGACTATCCATCAATACTGATCATATCATCTTAATGTTTGTTAACATAAATATATGACTGTATGATTCAAGATAGAGGAAAATACAGTAGTTCTATTAGAAATTTCAAATTGTCTTTGTGAGAACTCTTTTTAATAAATGGATTTAAAATAAGTGAATGCTATGTCACCCATTAAAAAAATTGAAAATCGACTGTGCGATGAGCACTACACTGTCGGTGACATTTTCGTAATTTAGATAGAAAATCACAGTTTTTGTTAAATGAGCACAAATGCACTTTTAGTGAGCAACAGACTTATTATGTTGAGTATTAGAAGTCAAACATTAAGCATTGTGATATTTGTTTCATATCTTTCAATTCACTTTTTTTTTCTTATTTATTAAAATATATCTATAATGAATCTGTATGAATTCAATATATGAATCTAGTATAATATGATACTTTTAATATATGCATATATATGACATTTTAAAATGAGCATTACACAAATATCAAATGAGCATACATTACTGAGGAAATGAGCATCCAAAAATTCAAAAAACTTATTTAAAATCTCTAGTTTGCTCAAATATTCAATGACATACATAATTTACGAAATGAACATCGAAAAATTTAAAATGAGCATCACAACCATATGCATGGATATTACACATATATCAAATGAGCATACTTAACTAAGTCCACAATCCGCTTGAGCTCTTTCTCTGCACACCTCAAATAGGATAACCAGACCCGGGAGTTGTGAATTCCTTCTATGCTACGGCTAGAACCCATCCAGAGATAGCCGGAAACGGCGAGATTGCACCTCCATATCTGCGAACGTTGGCAATACCTCAACGACGACCTTTCAATGACGTAGATAGTGGCCGGACAACCTGAGCGGCGACTAATGTTCACGAGCGACGTAGGACAGTACTCCGAAAAACACCCGATTGTACGGTTGTACCATGCTAAGGTACAATCGATCGTAGGATATAATTTACAATCATACCTATGGTGAATTTGATTAGTCCAACTAACTATTTCTTAATTTATTTATGTTAAAATTATAATTTATTTATGTTAAAGTTTTCCAACAAAATTTTAATTGGTTCAAGTGAACAAAGTATAGTACCTTGAGGGTTCCATGTAATTTGCAAGGGAAATTGTTTTAAATAGAAGTAAAAACCTTCTAAAATTCTAAAATATGGTTGTTATATTTTTCTTTTCGAAATAAGAATCGTTACTATCATTGTTGAAAATTACTCCCATCAGTGACAGTAAATACTACTGTACTAATGCCCAATAGTCCAATATTGCAATTATTTTGACAATAATTACTTTAAAATGACAAATTGACAATAAGTACTACTCCAGTACTCCTTATGAATTATGATAGATGTTCCTCATATTTCCGAATAAAAGAATAAACAATTCTATTTAGCAATTTAGAGAATTTCCCTAAATAGTGTTCCTCATGTTTATATAACTTTCCCTTTCGGAGGATTTCCTTAAATAGAGTAAAAATAAAAATAATAAATTATGATATACTCCGTAAATAAATGCTCACTTCCCTAACAAATCATCACCTGATAATTAGTTCACAGAAGAAGAGGTTTATAGTTGTGGTGACGGCGCTTATCGCCCACTCCACTTCAATCCCGAATTATACCCAGGTACAACTCACTTGCCTCTCATAAATTCCGCATATCATTTGATTGCCCATATCGACATCTGTCCTTACTCCTATACAAGTATGTATATGGTGATATGTCACAAAGATGTCAAATTTTATTTCAAAAGCTGGATAAAGTAATAAACAGATTGGGGTTTGATTTCTCTTTTCTACAGACTACTAATCTCTAAGGAGTATTTATTTTGTTTGAGGTGAAGGTTTCAAGTACTTTCAATGGGTTCATGATCTGCAGCAGCTGGATATATTGTATATGATGTTGTACAGCTCTTTATGTGCTTGGATCAACCAGTTTCTTGCTTGCATGGGGTACGTTTTCAGATTTCACTTCGACATTTTCTTTCTTTTGTACTTTATGATCTGCACAACTTTTAAATATCAATATAGTTAATTTATTATTTGTAATTTTTTTAAAAAGATCACATTTTGAAAATTTTAAATGAGAAGAATCTTCTAATATTTTTTTAAAAATGAAAATTTTAATGCCTTAGTAAATAAAGTGTAGTCAAAGTGGAGCACATTAATAGTGTAAAATTTCTAATGTTGTAACTATTTGAGAATGGATGTAATATATAATTTCGCAATTAATGTGGTGTTCTTTCATCTATTTAAGTTCTAATATGATCTCGGAGTAATTAAGGAAAGGGGTTAATGGGTTTTGCAAGAGAGAATTTTTATTTTATTTTAGGTCTTTAGCCATTTTTATTTCATTAATCAAGGATTCAACGTAAAATGCTCGTTCCCAGCCTATACGTCAGATCAGATATTTTAAGATATAAGAGGTAAACTATATGAGCCTGTATATGATTAAAGTTGTTGAATTTGCTGAAATTGTGGCTGATATAATATTATGATTTATATCACTAAGATTGATGAATTATAAATAATATAATTTGAAACGAGAGTAGAAGTGTCACTTTCAATTGTTTAGCAAAAAAAGATCTTGAGCATTTTTAATCAGCCTGTTCATTCACAAGTTAGTGTTTTTTGAAAACTCTAGTTGGTAAGGCACTCTTTTTTTATTGGGAATTTAGGATGGTTAATGAATCAATTTCAGCAATGTGAAATATCACAGGTTATTGATTGTCCAAAAGCTGTGTGAATTAGTTCTTAGCTAGTGGAAGCATATATAAAAGATGTATGACAGGAAAAGCTAAGTTTGACAATATTAAATGTTTGAGAGAATCAAAACCAGGGAGAGGAATATAAGGAAGAATAAAGAAATTCCAAACAGAATATCATCAATAGTCGCAACTTTTGATGTTTGAGTTGAGGTTGTCATGTCTGCCAATGAACGAATCTTTGTTTATGAGAATCTGAATAGTTATGGGTAAAGCAGGCTGAATATTCTTCATGTTTTATTTTCAGTGAAAAGATGTAAAACTGACGAATGGATCATGAAATTTAAGGTTCTTTTTCTGACAAATGAATAAAACAGTATGCACTTGTAGTGAAAACTTAAACAATATGTAGAAGAGGAGTTGCAGAGAGTGAATTCATGCCCAGATTTACCCAAGCTGTGGTCATGTTTTTTTTAGTTAATTAATCATTCATATTTATTTTCCTTGGAAAAGTTATGGGGCATTTTGGCTAGAGAGGAGTCAGAGGACTAAATTTTATAGTGGAAAAGCTATGTGAATTATGTATTCTATTGGTTTGTGTTCTGAAACTGAAATTGGAATTTCAAATGCTGAACAGCAAGCAGAAGAGTACCTTTAAAGCACTCTCCATCTCTGAATTATTCCTCAAGTTTTTTATTGAGTATGAAACGGTGCAATATGATATGTTCTTTATAAGATTTAGAATATGATGAGCAATCAGGAAGCATATAGTGAACTCTGATTGTGTGCAAAGGTGAGAGAGAGTTTAGTGTGCAAAGAATATGAAGAACATGAAGATGATTTGTGGTCATTAATGCATATCTATTAACTGCAATGTCCCCTAGACAAGTCTAGGCCGGAGTTTTGAGTTTTTGTAAAACTGAAATTAGGGAAATGATGTAACTATGCCCTTAGTATTTGATTCTAGGTGTAGATCGGTCCTTAATGCTTCCTAATCAAATATGAAAGTCACAAAGAATAATTAATTTAATACTCCTTCCATTCCAAATTGCTGTTCCACTTTGACTTTTGGGGTAAAAACTTATTACCTTATACTGTTAGTTATTCAAAAATATACTAAAATATACTCCCTCTGTCCCGCTAATATTGTCCATATCACCGATGGTGCATATTAAGAAGTTTGTATATGGAGTACCTATTAAGAAAAAGTTATTTATTGCATAATTTAGAATAGCAAATCAAAAGTGTTGCATATTAAGAAATAATACTTGCCTATGGTGCATATTACACCTTTTCCCTTTTAGTTTTTTAGAAAATGCATGGTATATTAACCATGAAGACATACACCTTGTTGTCACTATGTATTGTGTATGCAAATAAACTTGAATGAAACAGAGCAGTGGTTGCTTTGGTTGCTGTGGAAAATCTCGACCGATAACAGCAGTGGATGAGCCATCAAAAGGACTTCGAATTCAAGGGAGATTGGTGAAAAGGCGTAATAGCATATCTGAAGATTTCTGGAGCAGCAGCACAATTGAGATGGAAAACAGCACTGCTCAATCTCAAAGAAGTTTGTCATCTATCAGTATTTCAAACCCGCTTAATCCGACCAATGACCAGGGTTGTGGCTCAGGAAACACTAGCCACCATCCCGAATTTGTAAATCATGGCAAGTTCTCTTTATTTTCGGAACCTTTCCTCAATTCAGATTGGATAGAAAATTACAAACATATGACTCAAGTAAAATGAGTGCACAAAAAAACCATCAAGTTCGCAGTGACTCTGGACCTATGGTGCTATTGTGTGACTGTGGAGATTTGTAGTTGTATTTTGTCTATAATTTTTATTTTAGTAATATTGTAACCCCACCCCCCCCCCCCCAAAAAAAAAAAAACACCTCACAAACATTATTTTAACATCTATGCTGAGTTTCAGGATATCTTCTTTGGAACCAAACCAGGCTTCAGTGGCTTCGAAGTAAAGAACCGGACACCAAAAGAAAAGTTCGGGAGCCAGTACTAAAGTGAGAACCTCATATGCATATTCTTATAAGGAGAACTTGTGAGCATATTTTAATGTGTCACATTATTAAATGCACGAGTAAACTCATCGGCAATTTAGTATGCTTAGATGGCTCCCTTAAAAAATCAAGATGAATTCTTTTGTAAAAGAATTTTGCTCCTGCTCACACAACTATTAAGTTACTTAGTTATCCGCACTTTTGGTTCCTTCTTTTCAATTTTTGCTGCGTGAGTAAGAATTTTTTGCTACTTTTGATTCTTCTGGTGCATGAAAATGTTATGTGAGTTTAATGAATGCGTTGTCGCATTGTCGTAGGATTCTATTGTTCAGTGTAGTCATGGCCTCTCGAAATTCGAACTGAGGTGACAAGAAATATAATTCATATATATATTTATATATATGGTGCGGTTCCAATGAGAATGATGCTTAACGTGAGAACGTGAGAACACTCACAATTTACCCAATGTGATACACAATAGAGCCCGTTTGGTGCACATTTCCAGTTATTCGTAGTCCCTATCATTCTCTAGAAGTGAAAAGCATAAAAAGCATGGACCAAGAACTAGAATCGCCTAATACTAGTGAGGCAAACATTGTTTTTTTTTTTTAATTTTGTGATATTGTTCTTTTATTGTTTAATTCGCATTTATAACTCGTCATTGATGTCTAGTTGTTCAAGATGGCAGAGCAAACATTAGTAGGTGCATTCTAGTATTTTCCATCTTGTAAATTCCTACTAATATTATTCCAAATCTGTCATTTTCAGTTGGAATGCTACCTATGAAAGCTTACTTGGCACTAACAAGTGTTTTCCTCGTCCAATTCCTCTCGCAGTAAGTTCCCAGAATTGAGAATCCCATTGTATCATATGCGTTTGAGATATATGCATGCATTGTGAAGCCATCACATTTGTAAAATATAAGATCCTCCGTTCTTTAATTCTTGCAACAGTTTGACTTTCACGTTTGCCAAAGCACAACTTTGACTGTAATTATATTTAATTATGTATTAGTAAATATTATAAAAAAATTGATATTTTGGAAATTCACATTATTAGGAATTCAATCATTTTATACGTAATAATTCGATTATACTAGTATATATTAGTAGAAAATCATGGTCAAAGTAAGGTTTGTGAATAGTGCAAAAATCACAATGTTGCAAAAATTGCAAGAATTAAGGAAGTACTACCACTGTCCCACTAACATTGGGACGGAAGGAGGTGGCACGGTTATTAAGAAAAGTTGCTTTATGTGGTTGATATTGAATTTATAAAGTGGAAATAAAGTAAAAATGATTTAGAGCCACTCAAACTTTATCAAATTTGGTATGGGACCATCTTAGTGGGATTTCCAGAAAAGGTAAAATGGGACAATCTTAGCAGGACGGAAGGAGTATATAATAATAATACAAACCTACTTAAAGTTTTTGTGCTAGTTCTCATATTAGGTTGACTTGGAAGTTGGAACATAAGTCTCAATATACAGGTGTTGAAGATTTGTTCAACACTAGTCAAATATGAAATAACAAACCAACTCATAAGATATCATGTTACTCATTCTATCCAGTTTACTTTTAAGATGAGAATTCTAGGTATTAATATGATATGAGAGCCAACCTGTTATATAGTCATGTTGTGGCCTCCAATGAAACCAAATGAAAAAAAATGATGCCCGTTATCATCAATCGACGACTGAACAATCGATGATGATACATGAACGGATGGGAAAAATTATCAATTTCACGATCCATATGAATTGTTTGATCTTGAGAGTGGTGTTGCACCTTGTATGATGTTGACCACAGAACTCAGGTCTTAATAGCAATATTATATGTATGTTTCCTTCTCTACATAAAGTTCTCAGACATAATCATGTACAATTGGCATGACAGGAAATGGTTGATTTTCTTGTGGATGTATGGGAGCAAGAAGGATTATATGATTAGCCACGCTGACACTGGCCTTGAGTTCTGGAAAAGATTTGTGTATAGTTAAGTTTCCATAAGGGAGAAGCTGATGAGAGAGGAGGAAGAAAGGTGATAATATTAAGCAGTGGGTTTTTACTTCCCACAATTTTTTTTTTTTTTAGTTTGTCAATTGCCATAACAAATGCTTGTGATTATCCAATTGTAAATGCAACACAGACTTGGGACCCAAAAACTAAGCTATGTGACTCACATAATGTGTGTTTCTCCATGAATGAATTGTCAAAAGGGGAAAGAGCAAATTTATTGAAGCTGCCAAAAATCTACAAACTGACATTTCAAGATATGCGATGCAAATATGAAACATCTATGTACCTAATCCTATCCTAGTACTCCGTATATTATAGACTTAGTAACCAACCTATTGGTCACATTTAATACGGAGTGTTTTTAGTGTCTAGTCCATTGTGTTTTTACTCCATACTCCGTATAGGGGTGGATTCGGGTCGGGCCACCCGGCCCGGCCTGCTACTGTGCGGGACCGGGACCGGCCCGGTAGGGGGGCGGGTCCGGGCTCAGGTCTTACATTTGGCGAACCGGCCCGGCCGGTTTGGGCATGGGTCCGGGCCGAATTGATTTTTTTTTTTCATTTTTTGGGGTTCCACTCGGGTTGGGCTTGATGGTTAGGAGGGGACCGAGGGGTTTGGGGGATGGGGGGTGAGGGGGGGTGGCTACCCGGGCCGGTCCCGGGTCCACCAATTCCGAACCGCCCGACCCGCACCCGGCCCGACCCGAATCCATCCCTGACTCCGTATTAGTCTATTAGATATTGGTCAATCACACTGTTCAGCTATATAAGTAAAACTTTGACATGAATGCTCCTCCACACAAAGAACCCTTCTATTTAAAAAAAATATGTAGGTCCTACTAATTTATAGTATTAGGTCATATTTAAAATTTCCATATTCTTTATGAGTATTATATATACACCATCAGGACACCCTATGAGGGTGAGCCATTATTATCATCATTATTATTTCATATGGTATCAACAGCCTAGGTTACCCTAGTTTTTTAGCCGCCACCTCTCTCTCACGATGGCCTCTACGTCCGCAACTTCTTCAGTCATCTTTGCCAGCACCACGGCGCTGGCTTCCTTCTCCGAGCAGCCACTGTCAGTCACCATGACGTCTTCATCCAACCCCGTGATGAACATGGCCCTGACGGTTTTCACAGAGCAGTCCTCTTCCTCGTCTCTCTCTTCGCCGGTGGTGCATCATCACAGTTCTTCTTCCGGTGTTTCTCTTCCTCCTTCCATGTCCATGTATCGTTTGTTCAACATGTCGGACCCTTTTTCATGGACTCAGACTCCACCTCACCCTGTGGCAGCATCTTCTTCAGCTCCACTCACCGGAACTCGGTCTCTCCTGGATCAACAACTTCCACCGCCTCCCGTCTTTTCTGGCTCCACCTTTTCAGGCCAACCGGGGGTTGGTCCAGTACCGCAGCAACCAACTTTGCAACTTCCAGGTTTTGCTTCTCAAACTTCTTCTTTAGCTTCCATGCCGTCAAACTTCTTCTTTAGCTTCCATGGCGGCTCAATTGGGTTTTTCCACACCCAACGTTCCGAATATTGTCACCACTCGATTAAATGCAGTTGAGGATTATCTCTCCTGGTGTACCCAATTTGAGTCTTTTCTAGTTTCTCACAGTCTTTTTGGGATTCTAGATGGCTCAATTTTGGCACCGCCACAATTTACATGTGATGCTATTCGGCGTGAAATTCCCAACCCTGAGTATCATCATTGTCTCAAAATTGATCAGACTGTACGATCTTGGCTCATTGCTACTCTCTCACGTGATATTTTAATGGAAGTTTATGATCTGAAATATTCTGCTCAAATTTGGGAATGCCTTGAAACTCGCTGTATGAATGTCTGTCTTGCTCGCTCTATGGAGCTTAAGCGCCTTTTGTCCCACATTAAAAAGAAGGAATCTCAGACCATTGATCAATATCTCCTGAAAATTAAATTATTAGTTGATGCCTTGAATGCTATTAACTCTCTAGTTAGCAATCGTGATTTAATTGAATACACTATTCTTGATTTGGGGCCCAAGTTTGAATCTTTAATCACAATTGTTAATTACATACCGGGAGATCTTACACTGGAAAAGTTGCGCCCAATTTTAATTGCTCAAGAACAAAGGAATTTATATCCCCGTTCTCAAGATCCTTCGCCGTCACACCAAGCATTTGTCGTAGCACCAAACCGTGGTGGGGCAGCTCGTGGTTAGGGCGGTCGGCAGCAGGGAGGCCGAGGATATAGTGGCAGTAGGGGTCGTGGAAAACGTAGGCGCGGCCGTGGCTATGATGGATAGCCACATCAGGGTTTTGACAACCAGCAGCCCCCCTTGCTCCCCGTTCCGCTGCATGTCCAGCAACAGGTGTATGGGCAGTTTCACGGCCAGCAAGTCCCAGGCGCAGTTTGTGGTCCTCTTCCAACTGGGTTTCCAGGTACAACTTTGGGTAATGTCTTGACTAGTTATTCATACTTAAATAATCTATCTTCTTGTGGTACTATTTTTTTTTGGATAACTTGTAAATATATATATATCCAAAATGTTTATGTACAACTGTACAATATCAAAAAACCCCTACGGGTCATCCAAAGTGGATGCCCTGTCACCACACAAAAACCATCTAGCTACATATACATGCTAGCCATCACAAAAAAATGGTGACGAAACGGCAAAAATCAGAATGTTATCTTCTTGTGGTACTAATAGTATTAGTGCAGGTTTTCCATCTGTGGATCATAGTTCTCCAAATCCTCCCAACCCAGTTGTTTGTCAGATATGTTTCTCGTCAAGTCATTCTGCTCTTGCATGTCCCAGATTTGTTGGTTCTTCTACTCCGACGCTAGCTGCTCTTCCTTCGGGCGAAACAAATGCGTCTGTGTAGTATCCAGACTCGGGTGCCTCCGCTCATATGACTCCTCATGAAGGTATTTTTTCTTGTAAAATTCCTTACACTGGCCCCAATTCTGTGCAAGTTGTTAATGGTACTAAATTGCCTATTTCACATGTTGGTCACTTTAACTTCATCACGCCAAGTCGCCCGCTTTCTTTAAACTCTGTTTATCATGCCCCACACTTAAAATATAGTTTATTATCTATTCATAAATTGTGTGCGGATAATGATTGTATGGTGATTTTTAATAAAAATATTTTTTTATTAAGGACAATCAGACGGGGGCGCATCTTCTTCAGGTAGAGCCGTCAAAATGGGCTGAAACCCGCGGGCTGATCCGTTTAAACCCATTTATTGGTGGGTTAGGGTTGAGAATTCCTGACCCATTTAGTTCGCGGGTTTCGTGGGTCAACCCACGCGGGTTGCGGGTTTGAGTGGGTTGGCCCACCGGGTTACGGGTTGGCCCGCGAGCCAAAATACAAAAATGTAGTTTTGAATTTTATTATCTAAAATATTGTTCTTTTACTACCAATATTATTATAATTACAATTAAAAAAGTATTATTCTTTTATTTCTATAATAAATATTCAAATAAAATGTTGAAACATACAAGTATATTTGTTGTGAAGTTTGATACAATATTTAACAATTAGTAGTCATTATTTGCAAATAATTAATCAAAAGTTTTATGTAAATCTTTATTTTTATACAATGAGTATTTTTGTCGCACAGCCTTTTATAGTTTTCAAATTCTTGTATAACTAGTATTTAATATTTTTAATTAAACTTAACAAGTATTGAATTTTTAGTATTTTGACTTCTTATATTTCCTTTGTTACTACTTGCTAATATAAATATATACTTCCGGGTAATTATTTTTTTTAAAAAAGTTGTTTTTATATTTTTTTACATTGGCCCGCGGGCCAACCCGTTTAACCCACGGGTTAGGTGGGTTGGGTTAGGGTTGTAGAAATCTTGGCCCGTTATTAAACGGGTTGGCTCGACCCAACCCACATAAAGCATAACTCGTTACGGGCCGGGTTGGGTTGGGTCGGGTTGGCCCGTTTGATAGCTCTATCTTCAGGGCTCCAATAAAGAACATCTCTACCCATTCCATGCTCTTCAAGCTACCCTAGTTTCCGGACCTACTTGGCACAAACGTTTGGGGCATTGTGGTGATAGAGTTTTACACAGACTTCGGCAAAATAATTTAATTTCTGTTTCTAGTAATTTTAATCATAGTTGTGTTTCTTGTAAGTTGGGTAAATTCCATAGACTTCAGTTTCATGATGTTACTCACTCATGTATTTTACCATTAGAACTGGTTCATTCCGACGTTTGACAATCGCCTGTTTTATCCAATTTAGGATTTAAATATTATGTTTCTTTTATTGATGATTATTCTCGGTATACTTGGGTGTATCCTATGCGACGTAAGTCTGAGGTGTTTACTCATTTTTGTAATTTTCAAAAACTTGTTGAGAATCTTTTTAACAGAAAAATTAAAGCTTTTCAAAGTGATGGAAGGGGTGAATTTGACAATTCTATTTTTCAAAATCATTTTCTACAATCTGGAATTTTATTTCGCAAATCATGTCCAGATACTCCAGCTCAAAACGGTGTTGTTGAATGCAAACATTGGCATCTTCTTGAACTAACTAGAACTATGTTAATAGACTCATCTATTCCTTCTAGTTTTTGGGTCGATGCACTATACACCGCCACCTATATATTGTCAATCGTTTGCCCACTCCATTACTAAATAATCCAACTCCTTTTGAAAAAGGACTATAATTTTCTTGCGTGTTTTCCCAATTTAATTCCCAAGTCTTCTAATAAGCTCTAACTCCGCTCTGTTCATTGCGTCTTTCTTGGTTATGCTACGGGATATAAAGGTTACCAATGTTTAGATCCTATCGCGGGGGGGGGGGGGTGGGTGGGTGGGGTGGGGGGGTTATATTAGTCGGGATGTTCAATTTCATGAAAATAATTTTCCCTACTCCAAACTTATTTCTCAGTCCAAACAATCCTCTGGTTCGGCACCTATACTTAGGGGTGGGCAAAAATACCGAAATATCGGTATACCGCACTTACCGTACCGAAATATACCAGAAAATACCGAAATATTGGTATACCGTCATTTTCGGTACGGTATCATACCGTACCGGTCTATTTCGGTACGGTAACAGTAAATGTTTTCAAATACCGCGGTATACCGGTATAATACCGTACCGACTCTCTACTCAACAATTACTTTTAATTTTAATATATTGTAGAAATCCATTACAATTTTGAAGCCCAAAATTAATACTTAAGTTGGTTACAAATACAAAAATACAAAAAATAAAGGCCCAATTTCTCAAACCCACTATAACCTTATAGGTTTATACTACGATAACCTTAAATGACTAATGAGTAATGTACAAATGTCAAGAAACAAGCCCATCTTGTTCTAAGAGCTTGCAAGTCGTAATGGTTGGGCCGCTAAGTAGCCGACGAGTGAAGAGAGATACACTTATGTGACAAGTGTATCTACATAGGGAGCGAGTCGAGACACACAACTTTGTCCGAAAGTCTTATTCAATTATTAAAAAATTATAAAAATGACTAAATACACAATATCATATTAGGAATAAATGATTTTATATCCATGTTGTTTGAATAGTTTTATTTATTTTTGTTAGAGATCACTATTGATTTAATTATATCTATATTGTTCAAGTTATTTTAGGAGAATGTGTTACTTTTTAATATGTGGTATGTTGAACTGCTTATATATACTAATAATAATTATTGTTCAATATTGAATTGACATCAATAGATTATTAATTGTATTCCGTAACATTTTAATAATAGATTTAATATGTCGCTAGTAATAACGATTTAGTATATTTCGTTAGTCTATGATAATTTTTTGTATTGGAAGACATGCACGGTAATTTACCGATACCGTACCGTTACCGAACCGAAACTTCGGTATACCGAAATGCGGTATACCGAAACTTCGGTAAGGTAAAGGTATGCAAATTTTGCATACCGAAAGTTTTGGTACGGCAAAGGTATGAGAAAAAATATAAGGTATACCGTACCGAACCACCCCTACCTATACTGCCTTTTGAATGGCTTCCTACTAATTCTTCTCTTCTGGCAGACATCACCCAATCGCCCTGCGTCCTACTGGAGATCACACCAACCAGCCCGCTTCACTCCTCTGTCTCGCCGGACAGGCTGCAGCACATCGTGTATCGACCATACCCCAACCTCTCCCGATTCTTCCTTACCTCACTCATCTGCACCCAGTTCCTCTCCCAGCACCAGTCCTTCTATCAGTCCCTGGACCAGCCCACTAAACAGACCCTCGGCTAGTACTCCGACCAGTCCCACGTCCAGTACTCCTCCGACCAGTCCATCACCCAGTCCCCCCTGCCCCTGTGGAAAATTGTCACCCTATGCGCACTTGTGCGAAAGACAAAATTTTTAAGCCCAAATCAATTTTTAATCTTAGTATTTTCTCGCCCCCGGATGATCCTACATGTTTTTCTCAAGCTGAAAAATATTCTATTTGGCGGGCTACAATGGCAGATGAATCTAATGCTCTACTAGCTAATAAAACATGGGAATTGGTACCTTGGGATGGCATTAAAAATGTGGTTGGTTGTAAGTGGGTTCACAAGACGAAATATAATTCTAATGGGTCTGTTGAGCGTCATAAGACGCATTTGGTTGCTCAAGCGTTTAACCAACAAGCTGGTATAGATTTTACTGAGACATTTAGTCCTGTTGTTAAACCTACTACTGTGCGTCTTGTTTTGTCTATTGCTGTTTCTCTTGGTTGGTGTATACGCCAATTAGATGTTAAAAATGTTTTTCTCCATGGTAATCTTACTAAAGAGGTATATATGCGCCAACCATCGGGCTTTATTCATCCTTCTTTTCCTCATCATGTGTGTCGCCTTAAAAAGACATTATACGATCTTAAACAGGCTCCACGAGCCTGGTTTCACAGGTTCAGTGGTTTTCTTTTATCTCATGTTTTTTCTCAAAGTAAATCTGATTCCTCTCCCTTCGTCACCAGTCTCATGTTGTGTATATTCTTCTATATGTAGATATTTTAATTACTGGCTCTTCCTTATCCTTAATGTGTTCTATTATTCATTCCTTATCTACTCAATTTGCAATAATGGATTTGGGGGATATTCATTCTTTCATGGGTCTTCAGGCTAGGCGTACATGGTACACCTCAGGGATTATTTCTTTCTCGGCAAAAATATATTTCTGACTTGTTACGTCGTTTTCATGTTCATACTGTTAAACCTGTCTGTACACCCTTGCCTTCGCGTCTTACACTTTCTCTTACAGATGGAGAACTACTCACTGACGCTATTGAGTACCGCAGTATGGTAGGTGCTTTACAGTATTTGATTTTGACTAGACCAGATATTACTTATGCTGTACATTTGGTTTCTCAGTTTATGCATGCACCACGTACATCTCATCTTCTGGCTGTGAAACGCATTTACAGATATTTGCAGGGTACTACGAATCATGGTTTATGGCTCCAGGCAAATCATGATATTTCTCTTATTCTTGCCTACTGTGATGCTGATTGGGCCAGTTGTTCAGATAGCAGTCGCTCAACTACCAGTTATGCCATTTTTCTAGGGCCCAATCTTGTTTCGTGGAGGTCTAAAAAGCAGCCTACAGTCTCTAAATCCTCTATTGAAGCAGAGTATAGAGCTATAACATATACAGTTCAGGATACTATCTTCATTCGGTCACTGCTAGCCGAGATGGAGGTTTGGCTCTCTACTCCTGTTCAGCTTCACTGTGATAATGTGTCTGCCTCTTATCTTGTTGTTAATCCCATTCAACATGATCGCAGCAAGCACATCAAGATTGATTATCATTTTGTCAGAGAACGTGTTGCTCATGGAGACCTTGTTGACAAAATATGTTCTCACACAATTGCAGTTAGCTGATATTTTTACAAATAATTTATCTAGTCAGCGTTTTGATATTTTACGTTCCAATCGTGTATATTTGAACGTAAACCATGAGGATGATATCCAAACATGCACATATTGAGGGGGTGTAATAATCTATGGTATTAGGCCATATTTGTAGTTTCCATATTCTTTATTACTCTCTCCGTCCCTAAATGTTGTTCCAATTGCGGATTACGAAGGTTGACCGACGATAAAGTTAAATGATCCCTGTGAAAACTCGGATTATTTTTAGTAAATAAAATTTACATATTCAGAAACTACATTAAACCCGCTACAAAGCCTGCAAAAAATAATTCAATTTTTATATAATTTTGATATAAAAAGTAAGAGTTTAAGAGTGATTTAAGTTGACCCTCGATAAGCGAAATGGAACTTCTTTTAGGGACGGAGGGAGTATTATATATACACGATCAGGACATAGCTTGGAGATTTTGGGCATACTTATTATATTCAGTTAAAGGGGTTGTTTTGAAATCGGCGGATCAGCCGTTCATAACGGTGGCAGGTGGGTTTGATTGCAATCAGCGGTTAAGCGTCGGTCAAGATGCTAAACTTATGATTGGGAAGTATTGGAGTTTTTTCCCAAATAGGGGTAGTTTTGAATCTTATTTCCCAAATAGGGGTAGTTTTAAATTTATTTCCCAAATAGAGGTACTTTTGTCTTGTCATCTGCCATGTCGCTATGTCTACCTATGCCTTGTCAGCACAGTGGCCACGTCACATATTCCACGTCATTTGACTATTCCATATCATCAAATTTAGGTATGTTAAAAAATGTTTAAAAAAAAACGCTGCAAAGGAGAATTGAACCCTTAATCTAGTGAACACAACACAAGCTCCATACCATTAGGCTAACTAATCCACTTGTGATAATTTTGCCCTTAGTAATATTTTAATTATACACATGCTAAGTACATGAATGTAGAAGCTTAACTCATGTATTACTCGTTTCTAAAAAATATATTACTACTTCCTCAAGTAGTTATAAAATATAATAAAAGCATCATAATTTCAGGTATTCAATTAAAAATATACTGAAAACTAAATTTTAAAAATTTAAATAAGTGACATGTTGTGCCCAAGCTCACGCCAAATTTTAAAAAATTATATTATTAATTTAAATAAAGTGCAAGAAATTATACGGAGTTTATATTATAATTAAAAACTAGAGGGTAGTACAAATGCAATGAGAACAACTAGACTATGCTAGTCATTTGTTACAAAGTCTCATGTGCAAATATTTAACATATACTACTATATCTTTAAGCGCACAAGAGTACCAGCTTAACTCATATATTAATCGTTTCTTTATAAATATATATATCTCGTTCTTCAGACAATTAGAGAATATGATAACATTTTATTAAAAAAAGAATACTCGTATGATAAATACCCCCTCCGGTTTTTAATAAACTTCACACTTTCCTTTTTGGGATGGCCTAAAATAAACTTCACACTTCCTTATTTCCCTTTTTGGCAAAGAAATCTACATCAAAACAGTGCCAAACAGTGTCCAACAGTGCCAAACAGTGTCAAACAGTGGCTCAACAGTGTACTCTACAGTAAAGTCAAATTTCTTTCCTTATTTTGTGTGAAGTCAAACTGTGAAGATTAAAAAAAACCGGAGGTAGTACATAATTTGATATATCCAATTAAAAAAATAAAAACTGAATTAAAAATTACAACAAACACATAATTGATATATGTTATTCAAGAATAACTTAAAATAAATATGGAGCATAAATTAAAATGGATAAAGGTGCAAGTTAAGCCTGAATTAGTGAATGTAAGTCTAGTCAAATATTTCTAAACGAGTGAATTAATCAACTAGTTAGTGTAGTCCTGTGGTTTGCATGTTGTAAGTCTGCCCATGTGGTTGTGTGTTCGATTCTCAAGTGCTTTATTTTTTTTAAAGATATCCAAATGGCTTATGATGTGGAATGACTTGTGATGTGGAATGGCTGATGAACGATATGCAATAGATGATGTGGCCAAAATGGATGATATGGAAAAAACTATCTTCATTTGGAAAATAAGTTTAAAAGTACCCTTACTTTGTTTGAAGTTTGGAACTCCTGGTTCTTCATTCACTGCTTAGAGTGATGTTTAGGAATGTCGTATTCCAGGTTTATTTATCAAAAGACTAGTTAATACGGAGTACTACGTATCAAATAGAGCTCGAAACCGCCATTATTGGAGTGCATTGTTGCTAACTTACTTTGGGCGTGTTTGACATTTAGCGGTTAGTGGTTAGCGGATTGTGTTAGCGGATTATCAATAACGGAATTCAATCAGCGGGTTTGACTAGCGGAATAATTTGGCGGGTTGTCAGAAGATGTTTAGTAATTTAGTTGTTTGGCCATAAAATTAAAGGAAAATGCCAAATTTCAAAACGTTATCCCAAAACTCTCCTATATCCAGCGTTTCCATTTCAGCGATTCCGTCTAAAAACGCTAGTGCCGAACCACTATTAACCAAACAACATTTTCACTTATTAAAAACGCTAAAAGGGATCAAACCGACATTTTTTGCTGAAACGCCATTTACCAAACACCCCCTTTATCACCAAGCTATTGTTAGGGATGGCCACAGTTTCACAACTAGCCGAATATTTACCCGGTTACCAGAACGGCTATGCTTTCCGGGTAGGACACCATAACCGGGTCGCATAGGGGAGATTGGAGATCCGGGTTCGTGTGATTTGGAACCAGACACTTATGATTCCAAAGGCTACACTTTTATTTTTGGGAAAAGTACCAAATCAACCCTCAAACTAACACTGATAGTGCATATCACTCCCTGAATTAGAAAAACCTCCAATCAAACCCTCCAAGTCGGTGATAAAGTGCAAATCACCCCTACACTCATAATCATAGCTGTGACTTTATTAGTTTTTCTAAACCTCTTCCTAACACAGTAACACTCAACAACCAAGATAATGATTTTACTTCGATATTTTTTTTGTAAGCATTTATCATTCAACATCACGCCATCTAATCCTCGAATTAACAAGTTCAATAATTGAATGTGGATATTAACAAGCTCAATAATTGAATGTCGAAATTCAAGCAACTTCAAAAGTTTCAGTAAAATAAATAAAGTAAGTCACTATTCCACATTTACACGATACCAAGTGGGCAAGTGGCGGATAATGGCATCGGGTCACTGAGTGGCAGTGCAAAATAATGAATACTCCATAATTGACTGTGCTAGTGCTTCATTTATACTCCCTCCGGTTCTTTTTAAACTTCAGTGTTTGACTTCACAGTTATTAAGGAAATAAAGTTGACTTTACTGTAGAGTACACTGTTGAGACACTGTTTGGCACTGTTTGGCACTGTTGAGACACTGTTTGGCACTGTTTAGCACTGTTTTGATGTAGATATCTTTGCCAAATAAGGAAATAAGGAAGTGTGAAGTTTATTTTGGACCGTCCCAAAAAGGAAAGTGTTAAGGTATTGGCCCAGCTTCTTTTATCCATAAGCCCAAATTCATTGAAGTACCCGACCCATCTTTATTCCCTTTCTTTCGGACCGCTGCCTTCTTCCGTTCGTGCGTGAGTTTTTCCTTCCTCGATTCTTGATACGCTTTCCTTCCTTTGATTCTTAATTGAAGGTAAGTTACCATCTATGGATATTTGCTCACCTATTTAATTTGCTCTCTTCTCTGATGATGGGTTGGTCTGGTGGAAAACACTTCCTCCTAAAATCGCACCTTTTTTGCTCCTCCGTGGTGCTTGAACGATTTGGCCGGAAGAAGCTTGTTGGTTGTTGCCCACAACCTCACCTTGTGATCTAGTGGTATTCTTTCATCCTTTGTGGGTGAAATCTTGGACGAGACCTGAGCTGGAAGTGCACATTACAGTGGTATCAGAGCCACGGAGGGACTGCCGCCGCGTCGCCGCCGCCTGCCGCCGCGTCGCCGCCGCCCAGAGGTCGCCGGAGGTCCAGGGAGTGCTGCTGCCGTCGCCTGGAGTTGCTTGGTGCCAGTTCAGAGCTCTGCCAGAAGCTTCCAGTCCGGTCCAGAAGCTGCTGCCGCCTGCCAGGAAGGTCTGCCGCTGCCCCAGTCCGCTGCCGCCATCCACGCCGAGTCTACAGCAGCCCACGCTGCCTACGGTAAGTCGGGTAACCCAACCTCGGGCCCCGCTCAGGTAAATTGGCGATAAACATCCTTGGTGTACCGGAGTGCCACCGGATTTATTTTTTCCCCGCTGCCCGCTGCCCGCTGCTGACCTACGTGGTCTTGGATGCCGGCTGTGCCCGGCCCCTGGTACGTTTACTAATCCTTTGTGTGATTTTTATTCGTAGTTCATTCATTTTAATTTCAAGTTGAATTGCTATTTACTTGTTAGTTGAATTGTGATTACTTGTTTGTTGGTCCGTGGATTAATTTTCCGGTGAAGAATATTTTGTTTGGATACTCGTTGTCCAAAGTTGTGAATATTTCTTCCGGTTTTAATTTAATCCGTTTGGATTTTGTTTTTCCTTGTTGGTTTGTGATTAATTTTCCGGTGAAGAATATTTTGTTTGGATACTCGTTGTCCAAAGTTGTGAATATTTCTTCCGGTTTAAATTTAATCACGTGTTGGATTTTTTATTTTGATTTTTTCTGTTGATTGATTCGTGGATAAACTCTCCGGTTAAGAATATTTGTTTGGATACTTGTTGTCCGAAGTTGGGAATATTTCTGTCCGGATTAGTTTTAAATCCAGTTTCTTTGATTGTTGATTAATTCTAGCCTATTTGTGCTTGTACGAAAGAACAAGGAGATTATACCCCGAGCTTTGTGTTCATTGGTCTTCTCGGCTTGTTCGTGCTAGTTGCTTCGTACAATTGATAGCCCTATAGGTTATAATTAATCATTTATCTGTCTGTTGAGTAAATAAAAAATTTTATCTTGCTTGTACGAAAGAACAAGGAGATTGTACCCGAGCCTTGCGTTCATTGGTCTTCTCGGCTTGTTCGTGCTAGTTGCTTCGTACGGTACGAATGAACAAGGAGATTGTACCCGAGCTTTGTGTTCATTGGTCGTCTCGGCTTGTTCGTGCTAGTTGCTTCGTACTGTTCTTTGCCTGATAATTTTTTTTATTTACTCTCTTGCGTGTTGTGCTTGCTTTCCGGTTAATATGGCTGTCAATCAATATGGCATGCTTCCATTTAACGGAAAGACAGATTTTGATATCTGGAAACAGAAAATCAAATGCGTGTTGATCCAACAGAAAGTCTATAGAGCTGTGACTGGTCTCTATTTAGACTCTGAGGATGCTGCTAAGCGCGTTGAGATGAATGAAACTGCTTGTTCCTCCATATACCTGAACCTTTCTGATTCAGTGCTCAGGAAGGTGGGTATTATAGATTCCGCGAAGGATTTGTGGGACAAGTTGGATAAGCTGTATACCGATACTTCTTTGCCTGGTAAATTGTTTCTGCTTGAGAAGTTCTTTAGATTTAGGCTCGACCTGTCTAAGGACATAGATGAGAACCTAGATGTGTTTAACAAGCT